GGGATTTATATTAATCAAAAACCTCTTAAGAAATTTCCAACCCCTTTTTACAGACTTGAGGCAGAGAATTCCCACAGGCCGGATCTCCACTGGGTCGCAGTCCCTGCTGGCATCCCTCCTTTGCCCGTGCAAAATGAGTCATAGAGCCTACAGCCAAAAGGCAACACCGGGCTAATCGACTAGGATCTCCTGCTGATACCAGCCCAAGTACCTCACCCTGTGGTTTCCTCATCAGATCTAATCACCTGCGGTCGAAGGAGCGTGTGCCTATGGAACAACATCCAYGGGAAAACTTGGCATGTCAACATAATTACATTTACTCCTGATTTATAATCAGGCATGTAAGCGGAAAATCAGGTTTGCTGTGTTCAGATACACCAGTATTTTTTCCCCTTAGCCAAGTCGAACCTCTAAGCTCAAGGAAATTCATTTATCACTGCATTCCTAATCTCTTTGGGAGCAGGCTTTACAATGAGTAGAGAATAATTTGATATTTGAGCATTCCTGGCCCACTACTGAATTCAAGGAAGGATTTTCCAACATCTCGTGCGACCAGGATTTGCTCTTCCATAACTACAAATCTGTCAATAAGGTATTAACAGCAATCCTTCCTTTTGGACAGAAAAATTAAAGAGACTTCATAAACAAGAAGCATAGGTGATGTGACAAGTCATTCCTTAAGATCTGAGTCTTGCAAGYTGCTTTTCAACACATCCATCTTCTAACAAGATAAACAGACCCTAGGATGGGCTTCAAGTGGTTCTTTGGGTAGCAGCAAGAAGAGTTGAGGTGCCCGCAGAGAGCATAGAGCAGAAAGGCATTAGAGCAGCTTTGGAGAAACCAAGTTAATAGATGGCCAGGCCATGGGGGACCAGAAATGCTCCAGAAGGGGTGGTCCCACCCTTGCTTTCTCTCACCCTTTGATAAATYGAACACGAAGATGCTCATGCTGGAAGTTCTTCGCACATCACAGGGACTCCTCCCATAACCTCTCCAGCCCGCCAGCCTCCTGCAGCATTGTCTGTTGGGCCTCCACAAGCCCAAGGGACGGCAGCTGTGCCGGGGATGTGCAGGGAAAGCGCCAGGGATGTCTGGCACTAGAGCTCGCCTCCCCCTCCAAGATCCCCCGCTCACCGTGCGGAGACCAAGAAGGTTTCCAGCCACCACGAGCTGCTGCCAAGACTCCAAACAAACCCATTCGCAGGTTCCTGGTCTGGTTACSATTAGCCCTGGTCTCGTTACGAGGCGGAGGGTGGGAAAGATGAGACCACCTTTCTTGCAGGGATATTGCATTGCAATTCTGCAGGGCTGTATTTCACGAACGCCCTGGAAGACCCCAGCGAGTTCATCTCCTCCTTGGCAAACAACTTGCCTTTCAGCAAGAACACGGAGCTGGTTTCAGGCTGCAGCCAAGGTTTCCACTGCCAAGCGCAGCCTTGGACAGCAGCAGGGTACACTCGTGTCCAGGCAGCGCCGCTGCTGCATGGGAACAGCCTCGAGGACATCGGACACCTTCCCACCCAGCCCTGGGCAACCACAGATTAAACACGTTCCTGGGGGAAGAGTCCAGCGAACAGGACTAGGGAGGCCCTGGATAGGAATTAGATCAATTAAAGTCTCTAAAACAGCCTCTAAAAAGAAAAAAATATATATATATTATCTTGGCTTTCTCGATGGTGAGTCAAATGGAAGAGCACAAGGAGCAGGCGGGAACATAGCCACCGCAGTCACATCTATTTCATGCTGCTGACACCGTTTTGCACAAAGGCTCCCATAAACCAGAGCACACCAAGTTCAGAGTCAGGATTTGCAGGCTCAGCTCCATGGGGCTGCAGGGAAAAGCCGACATCCCGCTCCCCACTTCAGGAGCCTCTAGGGGAGGTGCAGAGAGAGCTGGTACCTCCCGTTCCTACCAGCACTGAGGACATGAGAATTAGCTCCAAACACCACCAAAACAGGACAGTTCAGTGCCAGGGCAGCACTTTGCAGTCCCAAGGGATGTTACTACCCATTGTCCCAGGCAGCACCAAGGAGAAGCTCAGAATTTCCATTCATCCTTCCAAGTTCACCTCCTTTGGGAGTCCGACCTCTCATCTTTGCCCAAATCCCCTTTACAAACAAATCCATTTGAAGGACTGACTGCAATCCCTGCTGGCTCCTTCTCTATGGACAGCTCTGCCGCATACTCCTTACCCAAATCAACCAGTCCTATACTGGTGCTGAGGACAGGCAAAGCTGCAGCCAATTTACCTGCCACATATATGAGGCACAGGACATCCCTCCTGCATTCACATCCCAATCCCCACATCCATCCCACCAGCTGGAAAAATCAGACCGACTATTCAAACCCCCTCCCTACCCCGATCTCTGAAGGGAGATGGGTGTTTCACCAACTTCCGAGCTCATTTTGGCTCCAAAACAGCAGCCACCAGTGAGGCATTGACCAGAACAGGCTCAGGAGCAGAACCTGGACCCTCAGG